CCAAATACCCAGGAGCTGACTTCAAATTGTGTGTGGTTCTTCACTGCAGATGGCAAGGCCTTGCTCCAGAACCCTAGCAATCTACATTGGGATTTTCCTACTGGGGCTCACTATAAGCTTCACATGGCTTCTTTTTACACTGCAGATTCCTTTAGAACCACAGAGTCTACAAGGTCGTATAGCCCAACTGGCAGGGCTGATTACACTGCTGCCTGGACCTGTTGCAAAGCTCTTTCCGTTTTGGGCCCCTCACAAAGCCATCATCCTTTCATCTCACTTGGTAAATGGGTCTGAGCATTATTCCCAAACATGGAATATGCTGCCTTCAGAACCTGAAGAGGCCCACCATTGTGTCTTTTTCTTAGTGGTGAGAGGCACAAGATGCAGTTGGTTGACCTTTACTTTGATGGAGTCAGGGGGGATGTCCCAGCATGCTCCTGACTGCTTGACCCCTAAAAACTTCATTGATGTGGTAGGCTCTTGAAACTTCATGAGGTTTCTTCCAGGTACCTCCTTCCCTCTGGAATGCATATATCTACCAAGACCTCCAATGTCCTTGTCCTTTATTGCTTACCAGGTGACAGTAACAATATATCACTCATATTGTAGACCAACATCATATTATACAGACGGGCCCAATAATCTGGCTTGTTTTGGATATCTTATGCAGAGCATGAGAGAGTTAACATATCCCTGAGACAAACTGCAAGGTACACTGTTGTCTGTCTTTTGTAAATGTGAGCTGCTTCTGCCCCTTTCCTAACAGGGATGTAAAAGAATGCATGCACCAGGTGGGCCTCATCAGTTAACCTGGAGTTCTACTGACCTCCTCTAGCAGATTTACCGTATCTGGCACAGCAGATACAGGTGGGGTTTCTACTCACTTGGTAGTCAGTCGATTGTAATCCAGGATCCATTTGGTTACTGCAAGGGCCAGACTGTGATGGGACCCATCAATCCTTGGATTTGTCAGAGTTTTCTAGAGAAACAGAATCAATAGGATCTCTTTCTCTCTCTCTCTCTTCCCCCCTCCCCTCTCATTTTCTCTCTCTCTGTGTACATGTGTGTCTGTATTTAGGTACATACAGAAAGAGAAAGAGGGATGTATTTTAAGAAATTGTCTCATACAGTTGGAGGAGCTGGAAGATTAGAAATATGTAGGGCGGGCCAGGAGACTGGAGACCCAGGGAAGTTGGTGTTGCAGTCTTGAATCTGAAAGCTGTTTCAAGGCAGAATTTCTTTTTCAGGGGACCTTAGTCTTAAGGCCTTCAACCAACTGGATGAGATTCACCTGTAATATGGAAGATACTCAGCTTTACTTATAAAAATCTACTGATTTAAATGTTAATTAATTCTAAAAAATATGCTGACAGCAACGTTCAGATGGGTGTTTTATCAGGTAACTAGGCACTGTAGCCTTGTGCTATAGCGTTATAGCCTAGCTGAGTTTACACATAAAATTATCTGCCATATCCCTACATTTAGGTCTCTGCCACTCCTCCTAGGATATGGTTTTATTTTTGATGTACTCTTTTGGCCAGGGGGAAAGAATGGCAGCTTCACCCCTGTAATCCTAGCACTTTGGGAGGCTGAGGCGGATGGATCACTTGAGGCCAGGAGTTCGAGACTAGCCTGGCCAACATGACAAAACCCCTTCTCTACTAAAAATAAAAAAGTTAGCCGAGTGTGGTATGTGCCTGTAATCCCAGCTACTCTGGAGGCTGAGGCATGAGAATTGCTTGAGCCTAGGAAATGGAGGTTGCAGTGAGCCGAGATTGCACCACCATACTCCAGCCTGGGCAACAAAGCGAGACTCTTTGTCTCAAAAAAATAAATAAATAAACAAAATAAAATATTAGCTTTATTCGTGAATAATTCATACACCATAAAAGTTAGTGGTTTTAGTATAGTCACAGAGCTGCACAGCCATCACCACAATATAATTTTAGAAGCTTTCTGTCACTCCATACCTATTAGCAGTCCCCAGTTCTCCCCTCCCCCAGGCAACCACTAATCCACTTTCTGTCTTGGTAGATTTGCCTGTTCTAGACAGTTCATGTGAATGGAATCATACAATATAAGGTTTTTTCCATATCTGCTTTTTTCTTAAGTTGACATATAATAATTGTATCCATATCTGCTTTTAAAATCCAATTTGACTTTCACAATTTAGCTGAATGCTTTCACTTTCGTATTTTAATGGGAATTAGTGTAAGGAAAATGAGACTAGACCAAATTTTTAAATCATGTTACCTGATATTTTATCTTTTCACCCACATGCTTTCAAGTAAAAATTCCAGTGCACTATTTTCCTCAAGAGAAAGCAGTGGCAAATACTACTTTCTAATTTTTTTTTTTTTTTGAGACAGAGTCTTGCTCTGTTGCCAGGCTGGAGTGCAGTGGCACAATCTTGGCTCACTGTAACCTCTGCCTCCCAGGTTCAAGTAATTCTCCTGCCTCAGCCTCCTGAATAGGTGGGACTACAGGTGTGTGCCACAATGCTCAGCTAATTTTTATATTTTAATAGAGATGAGGTTTCCCCGTGTTGGCCAGGATGGTCTCAATCTCTTGACCTTGTGATCTGCCCACCTCAACCTCCCAAAGTGCTGGGATTACAAGTGTGAGCCACCACACCCAGCCAACTTTCTAATTTTTTATATGTCACTCAAGCCATTCTGACATCTCTAAAATTCCTGGAAGCTTCATAGGTAAAGCATAACTTAAATATAAGTTTATTCTACCTAATCCCAATATGTGGCCTCAAAACATAAGTCCATAAATGTCATTTCTAAGATTATTTTACAGAAATACTCACATTTGTTGTCATTTTTGTAGCCAAAGCTAGAGGATGGGGCCTGTGAATTTAGAACCATCCTAATGATAAATATCAAATATTTAGATGAAAACCTAAATATTCACCCCTCTACCTTCATTTAGAGCCACTAAATAATAACATCTTTTTTTTTTCTTTTTTTTTTTTTTTTTTT